AAATTTTGTAATCATCTCTAACGTGTTCAAATACTTTTTGGGGGGTCACCGTATACAATTAATGCAGATTACATCAAAAATAAAAAGACAAACTCTTAAAATGAGTTTAAACAGGCATCAGTGACAAGTGTTCAGCAGATAAGCTGATACTGTGTTATTTAAACAATATCTTATATATCTTATCTTGTCTCTGGAGAGCTGAAGTGTTTGTGACAGCACTGCCATCAGCGATTGTCATTACCTCTTTAATGAAACTCATGAAGCGTCCTCCGAACCTCCAGGGTTTGTGGCGATGACACTGCAATGAGTTGACAGTCATCTGCGGCGCATGCTGGTAAGAAACCGACACGATGTGGACTGCGTCGTACGTCAGAGCAGCATCTGTCTGGAATAAATAGGGGGGCGATATGTCAGCTGAAAGGATCTGACAAGCGGGAGGAGTGCAAGACCTGACCAGTTGACAACCTTGTCAAATGGCAAACTGGGCTACTGCTCAGGACCATTAGCACACTTGAATTAAAATGTAAGTAGAAAAGAAATCCTCAACCTTTGATTCAAGTCTGATGCTTATGAGACAGTGTGTATGAATACATGTTTTGTTGTTTTTGGAGGAGGAGGAGGAAGGGGGTTGTGGTTCAAGAAATAGGCACTATTTTCATGTTGTTGTGTGCCCAAGTTTCCAGGGTTCATACTTGTTTTGATAGTGCATAAGGGTTAATATGGGGTGCTAATATAATGAGCTACTAACAAGCAAATGCTTTATTTGCAAATTAGATGAACTGCACTTGATATGAACAAGGCTTTTTTTAGTAATCCATCATTGTTCATTGTTCTTTAACTCAACAATGATAGAAGTATAAATGTCTAAAAGTTAAAGAATAAGTGTTTTTGCCAACTAATTGTTTCTATATTTGTACTGTAAAACCAGAATCCAATGTATTTCTTGATTCCAGATCGCACGTCTTCAAACTGCGACTAATGGTCACATTTTATGACCTTTCGTCATACTGGTGTGACTAAGTTTTGTTTGCATTTCGTTAGCTACAAAGTTGCCCAACTGTCTTTGATTTTGCGCTGCTATTTTTGATGAGAAACATCAAA